GTTAGATGGGGAAGGGGACACAGGTGCGCGAGACAGAGTCCCAGTGTGTGACAATGAGCACGTGTCCTTCGCTCAGAAAGAGCAGCATTCCTGGGTTAAATGGTAATAAGGGGACACGTGGTTAACTCAGCCTCATTTGCAAAGGTCTGAATTATCCCGTCAGCTGAAGATCATCCCATCAGAGGGAGAACCTGGAAGCTTTTTGTCTGCTTGCTTTTTCCATCTTGTAAAAGAAAGGGCCGGGAAGCCTGACGACTGCTCCCGTGTGGGCGTCCCACCAGTGCTGCGGCAGGGTCCAGCCCCTCTTGCTGCAGAAAGTCCTGGATAGGCCTCCCGGGAAAAAACAGCAAAGCCAATTTGGGGATGGAGAGTCAAGCCCAAGGAGGGGAGGCAAGGCAGATCCCAAGTGTCCTTCCCAGGCAGGAATGTGGGGAGTTTGCAGGGGAGAGACAATGCAGTTTCTGACCTTGACCAAGGGCGAGACATACCAAGGCCTCCAGAGCAGCCGTTGCTAATTTCCTGAGCAAAGGCCAGACCAGGAGTTAGTGTTTCATTACGGATTGTTAATAGATATCAAATTTCTAGAGGAGGCAAGCCCTCCTCCAGGACACAGGCCACTTCTGGTCCCATGACAAGGGAACAGCATTTATTTTAGAGGATGCTATCAGAGCAACAAGCAGCAAGGATGGGGAAGGGAGGAAGGAGGTGCCTGGAGAGGCCCCTGTGGAGGGAGACGGGGTGGGGGGTGGGGGGAGGTAGGGAAGGGGCGGGGGCTCGGGCGGGGCCAGGCCCCACCTGCAGGGAGCAGCTGGCCCTGCCCTCCTCTGAGGCCAGTCCAGGCACAGGAAGCAAAGTCGCAAGGCTTTCCTGCTCCCTCTGGACCAACAGACAGGTCCTGGTGACAAGCGGAGTCCCTGCCCAGCAGCACCTGCAGCACGGCTGTGACACTGTGGTCTATCATTTATCCTACACTGTCAAGTTATGGACTGAGTTTCCAATTAACTGCCTACAGAGCCCTCATCCACCATGTCCAGTGTCTTTTATACTCTGGATAAGGAACAATACACACCAGGTTTGAAAAAGTTGTAACAGAGGGCTCTGAGTGCAGCCCTTTGCTACCCTGACCTCTCCCCTGGGCCCTCCTTATACCTGCCTAACAGGGACTGTGTGACGGCGGCTTCGGCCTGGGATGGGACGGCGGGATTTCCTGGGGATCAGAGGAGAAAATTATTCTGATTAAAGGGTCAGTGCCATTGAGACTATGTGTGTGTGTACACATGAGGGCAGGTGAGGCTCCTATCGGTGCCATCGAGAATGTGTGTGTGTGTGTGTGTGTGTGCGTACACATGAGGGCATGTGAGGCTCCTATTGGTGCCATCGAGAATGTGTGTGTGTGTGTGCGTACACATGAGGGCAGGTAAGGCTCCTACCGGTGCCATCGAGAATGTGTGTGTGTGTGTGTGTGTGTGTGTGTGTATACATGAGGGCACGGGAGGCTCCTACTGGTGCCATCGAGAATGTGTGTGTGTGTGTGTACACGAGGGCACAGGAGGCTCCTACCCGCATTTCAGCTCATCAACACTACAGCTCTAAAAAACAGGTAGGTAAATTTAAGACAAGGATTACATGCCCTAGAGTCAGGTACCGCAGCCTCAAATGTCCCAGACTGGGCCACTGGGCCATCTGGATCCTTCTCAGCTGCTTCAGCCCTTTCATGAGACAGCGAGTTCTGCCTGAAGGGGGCGCTAGGAATGCCAAGAGATAGGGAGACAGTGGGACAGGGAGACACCACGCATTCCACAGGTTTCTATGAAGAGATGACACAGCAGGGCATTTATCTGGTAGCACACGGGCTACCAACAAAAGTGACTCTATCCTCACAAATAAGATGATGTTTTAGCAAGACCCTAAAAGCCAGAGATAAAAATGGAGAACGCTCTGTCTGCGATGTGTGAGTCATGTCAGCAGAGAATCTGGGTGGCCAGGTGCTGTCTCAGGACACCGTAGGTCAGGACAGGAAGCTGCTCTGCCCACAGGGAAGCCTTGTGCAGGGCGCTCATGCCGCTGGAGCCCCCGCTCTCTGAGCTTTCTCACCCCCTGCACCCCAAGTCCCCCTGCCCTCTAGGGCTGCCTTTTCCACATCTGGGAGTCAAGACCAGGATGAGGCCCTCTGCGCAGCAGAGGCAGCCCTGTTCACTGGTCCCCCAGACCCCAGAGGAGAGGCCTGAACTTCCCCGTCAGTTATGTCTGCCTCCATCACATAGGAGGGGTAAATGAGGCTGCCAGGGTCAGAAACAGCTGGCTGCTCAGGGCAAGGACGCTGGACTCCAACTGCCATGCTTTGCTCCAGCCCCTTCTTCCCGGAGATGCACGTACTTCAGCACTTCAGTGGACTTCTGCAGTGACATTTCTTTTCTAAGAAAGCCTCCCTTCCATCTAACACTACCTTCTACCTTCCCGTGTCCATCCCCAGGAATAAGACAGTGCGGCTTCTCTGGCCACAGCCCCAGGGCCCCTCTCTGCAGCTTGAGGTGACCTGGAGCCTACACAGAGGGGAAGCCATGTGACAGGGGACCACAGCCACTACATACCCCCTCCCGTCACAGTCTGCTGGTATACAGGTGCTTCCTTCTCTCCACACCACAGTGAGCTACAGACAGAAGTTGAACTATTTGCAACATCTAACTTTTCATAAATAGTTATGGACGGAACAACTGCACTGTCTCCCTATCTCTTGGCATTCCTAACTCCCCCTGTTTAAGAAAACAGTTCTAGCTTCTTCCTTTCACATCCCTGGACTTAAATTAAGCTTTTGGTCTGAATTAAAGTAGCTTATTTGTTTTTATTACAATTCCCTGAAAACAGAAAACCAAAACAATGAAGATGACAAAAATGAAAGCCAATGCAAAAAGGCCAGAAGAAGGGAGCGTTTCCAGGGAAGAATCCAAGCCAGGAAGTCAACAGCAGGCAAGTGGCGGCAGGTGGCTGCAGGTGGCTGCCGGTGCAGCACACACTACACCTCCCAGGCCATCTTCAGCAGAGGGACATCTATTCATACCTTCAGGCAAGAGGGGGCAACTCTGCTCCAGCTAGCTCTGTAATCCGTCCACAGGCTGGGCCACGTGAGCTCATCTGGCAATGACGAGGAGCCCCATGTGCCATGTTAACTGGATGGAGGCCCTTCTCGTCACAGAAAAATGTCAAAAGCAGATGCCCTTTTCTCCAGGCTGACACTGGGCCTTTAATGAGGCACGTCTCTGGGATGTCAACCCCAGTGTGGAGATCAATTCACTTCCCTGCAGCCCCTGAGCCTTTCCTGAGCAGCTCTTCCGAGTCCTGCACTAAATTAGGTGCTTGGGGGATAGAGAAGGAGCCAGAAGCTCGTCCGCCCTTAAGAAAGTCTGAGTTACCATGAACAAGAAAACAGAAGACTCAGACATAAAGGTTTGCAAAGCTCAGTCCCCTCGTCCATAACATGAAGATAAAAATATTCACCGTGCCTAAATCCCCAAGAGATCGTGTAGCACATATAGAATAAAGCCTGGAAAACACCAGCAAGGAGGAGGAGGGTGCCTAGTATGCAGGGGAGGAAGACGGTTTGAGTGACAGACTTTCATCAGGGCACTTGGGCAACTGACAGGCAGGCTGCCCACACCGTCCACGCTGACAGCAGCCAACTACAGAAGCCACTTTTTCCCTTTTTATAGTTTGAGTCTTTTCTTTTTTTCTGTCCTTATTAATGATAAATGTGGTATTTTATTTTTCAGCTCTATTAAGGTATACATGGGTCACTACAAAAGTTTTGAGATACACAAAAATCAAGAAATGTAAAATCTGTGTAGATGGAAACAAAGGAAGCCCTCCCAGCAACACTGATAAGCCGAGCAAGTGGAAACTCAGGGGGCGAAATGAGAAAGGACGCTGGCGCCTGTGTTTCTTGGAAGTGAAATCATGGACCGTTCCACAGTCTTTCTCAAACTTAAAACCTGACAGTATCTAAGGTGAACGATGTCATGTTTTGACGTATATATGCCCTGGTGACCACAATTAAGCTGATTAACTGTCACCTCGCATACTTACCATTCTGTGTGTAGGTGAGGAGAACACTTAAGACCCATCCTTATAGAAAATTTTAAGTACCCAGTATGGTGTTCTTAACTCGAGTAATCGTGCTCTATCTGAGGCCTCTAGACTTACTCAGCCTGCATCACTCAAACCCTGTACCCTTTCACCTCTGCTCCCCATGCCTCACAACCCTTGGCAACTACCCTCCGACTTTCTGCTTCTGGAAGAAAAATCAAGTATAATTCAACGAGATAAACTAAAATTAAAACTCACACACTCATTTTTTTTTTTTCTGATGGACAGAATTTGGGGCTTGAGTTCAATTCCAATCCCTAACTTCTTGAGTTAGAAGACTCCATGTTCATTAAGTCCCCCCTAAATGTTTGTGACGTCTTAAAAAGTTTAAATGTGATCACAAGATGTCTAGTTCCAGCTTAGCACTAAAGCAGTGAAAGATGGCACTCCGGACTGACTCCTTCAGCTACACACAGCCCCTCGGTTGGCACTGTCACAATCCCGGGCACGTGATCATTACATACAATTTAAAACACGGTGTGGAGAAGCTTCTGCTGTCTAGCCAGGGGAGCATGTGCTATGAGCAGTGTTCTATACTGTGTCACTCCCGGGTAAATTCTGTCACGGGGACTGCTTTTGCAGCACGGTTACCATAATGCAGTGGTTCTCAACCTTCCTAATGCCACGGCCCTTTAATACAGTTCTTGTCCACAGGTTGAGAACCGCTGCCGTTAACGGAAATCTGCCTGGGGAGCCTGCCTGACCCACACTCTTCTGAGAACCGTGAGGAGACCTGGACAAGGAGGGTCCCTCACCAGGCAGAAGTTCATCCAGAGGTTTTCTTGGTGTCTCTTAGAATGAAAGCAAAAACCTACTCCTGCAATTATTTTAAACACGCATCTCATCCAGACAAGACTGACCAGGGTACAGAAGATGCACTGGCACTGGGAGATGGTCGTCATCTGCTCCACGGGGTACTCCCCCAGACACAGCTTGCAAGACACCAGGGGATCGAGGGCCAGGTCCCAGGTGGGCCGGTACCGTGCTGTGGTCATCGCAGAGCAGTCTGAAACGAGAGAATTGCAGACGGCATCGTCAGACCTTCTGCCACCAGCCTCCACCAGACCCCCAGGGGTCACGTCCCTCTGCTGTGGTGGGGGCCCAGGAAGTGGCCAACTGAGTGTTGATGGCCAGAGGTTTTAGACAGCTCATTGGAGTCCTCTGCTAAGTGTTAACCCTGGCTCCCGGGATTGCGTCTGTGTGTGGTCCGTTCCCCATTCCGACGGCAACCTGCATGCCAACCATCCCAGCAAAGGGCCCCTCCCCAACTTCCCCCCCAGATTTGCATTTAGTAAGACACCTGCCAACCAGGCCCAGAAGGGCAAACCTGAGCGGCCACGGGAAAGAAGCTTTGTTACAAGGGTGACTGCTCGGATTTAGCTGAACTGCAGTGTCACAGACACTTGGCAAACACGAGGATGAGCCTGGGGAGAAGAGTCAGAGCAGAAGGGCTTGGTGAGAGAAGAGGCCTGAGTCTGGAGGGGAGGTCACATGTCACACAGTGAAAAGGAAGCAGATCATGAAGAGGAGGACAGGGCCTCTTGTTGTCCCCCAGGTGGATGGCAGAGCAGTCCTGTGCTTGGCTGTCACAGTCACAGCCACAGTCCCAACTCCCTCTACCCATAACCAGCTCAGAGACTTAACCATGACCAGCCTCTACTGCGCATCTGTACAACAGGTGGACAATCCAGTCTCCGGCGGTATTGGAAGGATAAAGAGAGACCGTATAAAGGGCCTGCACACATGGCAGGCACTCAGTAAAACCCTCTCTCCCCTTCCCCATGGTGTCTCCTCAGATTATCCATCCGTGAGAAAGCATCTGATCACGTCCCAGGCTCTGCGGTGAGGTGCTGGATCTTAGCGTCACTTGTGCAGGTGGCCCTTAAGGGTCAAGGGGCTGTCAAGACTTTCAAATGTACATCCTTTTCTCAAGTTTTACAGTCATAGTTCAGTGGATGTCACTGAGCAATATTTAGTTAGGACAAGACACTTGCTAAATTCAATGCAGAGCACCCCAGGAAGGAGACGACAAGGGCAACCCAGAAGGTGGAGTCTGCACAATCCTGAAAACCCAGCCAGCAGACAAGACACGGGATGGGGAACAGGAGAGGCAGGCACATGGCAGACGGAGGAGGAGCCCTGGACAGCAGGGCTCAGGCACCTGAGAGCCCATGGAGGTGGCCCAGAACCTGTGCTGGACATGGGGACAGGTGACCCACATGCAGGAGGATTCTTACAGGGTAGTCAGCACCTGTCAGTTACTTAGTCTAGAATAACTGCATTTCCCATTGTGACAAAAGGACAGTGGTACCAATTCAAGTGATTTGGGGACTGGCTGGAGCTTTCAAGCTAATATTAGCAAGCACCATAATATGATGTGAAGCTGGTGGGGCCACACATTAGATCATTCGGGTGTCACCTAGATCTCTGGGAATGTGAAGCTCCCCATCCCCCTGAGGTCATTTCACACGGAATATCACTCTACACCTTGAATTTATTATTTTGAAGACCTATGAGGGTTTTCTAGATCCTGAGCTTATGGGGCATGATTTCTTTCCTTTATATTTCTCTGTGTTTTCAACTGTTTTAATCCTTAATCATTTATTTTTCAAGTAGTATCTCTTTGTAGTTCATGGTAAAAGTGGTAATTATGTTTGATTAAGAATGTTAGCCAATTCTATTATTAGGTATATACCCAGAAGATAAAAAATCACATTACAATAAAGATAT